GGGGCATAAAGAATAATTACAATTTATAACAATATATATGCTAGTAATATTGATTTAATCGACATATCTCAATGTTCAACCCCCCAAATATGCATAATCAATTTTGATTCAATAAATAAAATAAATTTTTTAAAAAAGAGAGAATAGAAAGATTTCAAATAAACAACCTAACTTTACACCTCAAGGAACTAGAAAAACAAGAACAATACAAACCCAAAGTTAGTAGATGAAAAGAAATAAAGATCAGAGCAGAACTAAATGAAATAGAGACCAAAAATATAGTACAAAAGATCAATGAAACAAAAAGCTGGCTTTTTGGGAAGATAAACAAAATAGACAAACCACTAGCCAGACTTACTAAAAAAAGACCCAAATTACAAACATCAGAAATGAAAACGGGGATAACACAACTGATACCACAGAAATAAAAAGAATCATTAGAGAGTACTATGAAAAACTATATGCCAACAAATTTGAAAATCTGTAGGAAATGGATGAATTTCTTGACACATGCAAACTACCAAGATTGATACAAGATGACAAAGAAAAACTGAACAGACCAATAACAAGCAATGAGATTAAAGCAGTAATCAGAAATCTTCCAAAAAAGAAAAGCCCAGGACCAGATGGCCTCACTCCTGAATTCTACCAAACCTTTAAAGAGGAATTAATATCAGTTCTTTCCAAACTATTACAAAAAATTGAAATGGAAATCATTCTCCAAAACTCATTCTATGAAGCCAGCATCACCCTGATACCAAAACCAAGAAAAGATACAACAAAAAAGAAAACTACAGACTGATATACTTGATAAATATAGATGCTAAGATCCTCAGCAAAATACTAGCAAACAATATAGCAACATATCAAAAGGGTTATACATCATGAGCAAGTGGGATTCATCCCAGGAAGGCAAGGATAGTTCAACATACGCAAGTCAATAAATTTGATACATCATGTCAACAAAGTGAAGAACAAAAACCACATGATCATCCCAATAGATGCAGAAAAAGCATTTGACAAAATTCAACCATTTTTCATGATAAACACTCTCAACAAATTAGGTACAGAGGGAAGGTATTTCTACATAATAAAAGCCATATATGATAACCCCACTGCCAATATCATCCTGAATGGGGAAAAGATGAAAGCTTTCCCATTAAGAACAGGAACAAGACAAGGATGCCTGCTCTCTCTACTCCTTTTAAACATAGTATTGGAAGTACTTGCCAGAGCAATTAGACAAGTAAAAGAAATAAAGGGCATCCAAGTAGGTAAAGAGGAAATCAAATTGTCCCTGTTCACAGATGACATGATTCTATATATAGAAAACCCAAAAATCTCTACCAAAAAACTGTTAAAGCTGATAAATAAATTCAGTAAGGTTACAGGATACAAAATCAACTTAGAAAAATTAGTAGTGTCTTTATACTCCAACAACAAACTACAAGAAAAAGAGATCAAGAAAGCAAGCCTAGGGCCGGCCCGGTGGCGCACTGGAGAGTGCGCCGCTTGGGAGCGCGGCGGCGCTCCCACTGAGGGTTCGGATCCCATGTGGTGACCGGTTCCCGCTCACTGGCTGAGCGTGGCGCGGGCGCAACACCGAAGGTTGCGATCCTGTACCGGTCAGTAAAAAGGAAAAAAAAAAGAAAGAAAGCAAGCCTATTTACCACAGTCTCCCCCCCCCCAAAAAAAAAAAAAACCCTAAGAATAAATCTAACCAAAGAGGTGAAAGATCACTACAATGAGAACTACAAATTACTTCTGAAAGAAATTAAGGAAGACACTAAGAGATGGAAAGACATTCCTTTCTCATGGGTTAGAAGAATCCATGTAGTAAAAATGTCCATACTACACAAAGCCATCTACAGATTCAGTGCGATTCCCATCAAAATACTAATGACATTCTTCACAGAAACAGAAAAAGCAATCCTAACATTCATACGGAACAACAAAAGACCCCAAATAGCCAAAGCAATCCTGAGCAAAAACAAAGTAAAGCTGGAAGCATTACACTTTCTGACTTCAAACTATATTACAAATCTGTAGTAACAAAAATAGCATGATACTGGCATCAAAACAGACATGTGGACCAATGGAACAGAATAGAGAACTCAGAAATCAATCCACATATTTACAGCCAAGTGATCTTTGACAAAGGCATCAAGAACATACATCGGGGGAAAAAACTGCCTTTTCAGTTAATGGTGCTGGGAAAACTGGATATCCATTTGTAGAAGAAAGAAATTTTATCCGTACCTTTCACCATATACCGAAATCAACTCAAAATGGATTAGAGACCTAAATATAAGGCCTGAAACTTTAAAACTCCTGGAAGAAAATGTAGGGAAATGCTCCAGGATTTAGGACTGGGCAATGACTTTATGGATAATGCCCCAAAAACACAGGCAACAAAAGAAAAAATAAACAAATGGGATTATATCAAACTAAAAAGCTCCTGAACAGCAAGGAAACAATAGAGTGAAAAGACAACCTACAGAATGGGAGAAAGTATTTGCAAAAAATGCATCTGACAAGGGATTAATATCCAGAATATACAAAGAGCTCAGTCAACTTTACAATAAAAAATGAATAATCCAATTAAAAAATGGGCAAAGGAGCTGAATAGACATTTCTCAAAGGAAGATATGCAAATGGCCAACAGGTATATGAAATAATGCTCAACATCACTAATCATCAGGGAAATGCAAATCCAAACCACTCCGAGATATCACCTCACCCCAATCAGACTGGCTATTATAAAAAAAAAAATAACAAATGCTGGTGAGGATATGGAGAAAGAGGAACCCTTCTGAACAGCTGGTGGAACCATAAATTAGTACAGCCATTACGGAGAACAATATGAAGGTTCCTTAAACAACTACAGATAGAACTTGCATATGATCCAGCAATACCACTCCTGGGATATATCCAGAGGACTGGAAATCATCAGGTCAAGGCATACCTGTACTACAATGTTTATTGCAACTCTATTTACAATAGCTAAGTGATGGAACCAACTTAAATGTCCATCAATGGATGACTAGATAAGGAAATTGTGATATATACACAATGGAATACTACTCAGCCGTAAAAAAGAATGAAATTCTACCATTTGCAACAACATGGATGAGCCTAGAGAAAATTATCCTAAATGAAACAACCCAGGTACAGAAAGTGAAATATGTTCTCACTCATAACTGGGAGCTGAATCCATAAATAAAAAAATGAACAATAGAGACAGAGAGAAAGAAAGAAACAACCATCACAGTAATAGGTGGAACTTTTAGAAAACTAGAGGTGGAAAAGGGTAGGGGAAGGGGAGAAAGAGAGGGGTCAATGAGGGATTGGTCAACAGACACAAAGAATGGTTGCTTGTTATAATGACAAATAAGCTAACTGTACTGATCTAACCACCACACACTGTACATAATTATTGAAAATCAACATTTTACCCCACATGTATGTATAATAAAAAATAAAAGATATAAAAATAAAAGAAAGAACAAGTAACAATGTAACAAAAAAAAGAATTTTACCTTATTTCTATTAATGTTTCCATACAACGGTTTATTTGATTAGTTATTAATGTTGTGTAAAAGGTAAAAATAAAATTGATAGCCTAAAGAGAATTAAAAGTTATCACAGCAGTGCGGTGTTAGCACAGAGACGGATAAGTAAAGCAGTGCTGTGGAAGAGAGCATGGAAGCTGACCAACAGGTGCACGGAAACTTGACGTCTGACCAAAGTGGAGGTAGGAGTCAGTGGGAAAAAACAGACTTCTTTGCAGCACACCAGAAAATAAACCCCAGGTAGACAGGCGCTCAAATGTGAGAAAGCAGCACTAAAACTTTTACATGACATTCAGACTATCTGTAGTCCTTTAGGCTATGGCAAGGATCTCTTAAATATGCAAAGGTCATATACACTTGGAAGAAAAAGGACAAATCCAATGATATTAACATTAAAAGGCAATCATTGTACAATAAAAGAAAACGTTAAATTCAAGCCACAAAGTTAAATTCAAGAGACTCTCTGTGTGCGATAACTGACAAAGGAGAAATTAATAGTTAAAAAAAGGCAAACATACCAGTTTTGTAAAAAGGGCAAAAGGCTACAAAAAGGCAATTTTTAAAAGAGGAAACCCAAATTGCTAATAAACGGTTAAATTCAAGAGACTCTCTGTGTGCGATAACTGACAAAGGAGAAATTAATAGTTAAAAAAGGCAAACATACCAGTTTTGTAAAAAGGGCAAAAGGCTACAAAAAGGCAATTTTTAAAAGAGGAAACCCAAATTGCTAATAAACATATGACAAGATGCTCATCCTTAATAATTAGAGAACTGTGAATTAAAGCCACATGAAGTGACGTTTGACACCTATATGACTGGCAATGCTTAGATGTCCACTAATCGCAAGTACCGGGGTAGGTGTGGAATGACATGATGTCACAGACTGCTGGAGGGCCTGTCAATTGGATGAGCATTTTTGGAGAGCATCTGTCAATATTCCACAAAGTTGAAGATGAGTCTTTCCGATGGTCTAATAATATTTCTTCTAGAAAACTCTCTGTGTGTAAAGAGACATATGTGCAACCTGCTCATCATTTCCAGTCCTGAAAATCTGGAACAACCTAAGTGTCCATTATTGGGAAAATGGATAAACGAATGAGTGAACGAACATGTATTGTCATGGATAAATCTTAAAAATGGGAAGTTGAGTAGAAAAGTATACTAAGAGTAAGGTACTATTTACATAAAGTGTCAAAACAAACAGGACACTATGATGTATTATTTATAAGTACCTGTATACCTACAAACTGTGTGACGATATGGATAACCAGCCCTTGAATTTGGGCCTTCTGGAGACTTCTGTGGAGGGCTCCTGGCACACAGTGAACTCTGAATAAACATCTGTTGTGTCCCCACGACAAAAGCTGCCTTCTTTAGAGATGAGGCTATGGATGGAATGACTTCCCTCCCACGCATCCCATGACTCACCTTGGGTGTGAGTTCCCACAGCCAATCCTCTCCCATGAGGGGCTCTTTTGGGGACCCAGTTCTGGGGTTCCAGCCAGGTCCTGGTCACTGCAGTCTTCCTGGTCTGTAGCCCACCTATCTTTGGACTTCAGGCTATCATGCTGCGAGTCTAGAGAGATGATGTCTGAGGGGGAGCTCATCACACCCGAGTCCTCGGTTGTGTCCTCCGACGCAAAGCAGCTGCTGACAGACACTGTCTCCTCGGCCTCTGATGGTGCCGGTGGGGTTCCGTCCATGCCGCAGTGACCGCTGGGTGCCAGGGGCAGGCTCACTGGACAAAACACAGCAGGGAAGGTCAGCGCACACCGCCTAGCAAAGGCTACGTCCCTCTGAATGACTTCCCTGCTATCTGGAACGCGGGGCACTAGGATAAAGGGAGACCCTCATCCAAACATTGTAACTAACTCAGAAGGAACCATAGGTGCATGTGTGATTGAGAGCAAAATTTTCCCTGAAAAATCAGTATTTGATGAATTAGCCTTCTAAATTTGTATCATCTATTTGGTGATGGGCAAACACATTTAAAATTTCAAACTAATGATGTGGTGAATGAAATTGTTTCTAGTCTAACTCTTGGTTTAATTAAAGTTGTTTTAAAATAAATTCTTCTAAAAAAGCATTGAGAACAATTAGAGTTTTTAGAAATACACACAAACTTAGAAAAAGTAATGCTGGTTTGGGAACTTCTGACAAATATTTCATAGTTACATTTGAAATTTAGCCTAACATATTAATGATGCTCTTCCTCAGCTTTTGGCTCTCCCTTAGTTTTTATATTTGAGACAGTAAGTTATGGTCTGAATAAGAGATGATCTTGGAAGAGAACCTTTGGGTAAAATTAGAAAGAATCAGAGCAAAAGTGTCCTTGGTTGAGGTTGCCTGGCCCCTAAGCACTAAATGTGATTTGCTGCAGCAGAGCCGGTGAGATGCACATAGCTGCAGTCACTGTCAAAGCCAAGTTCTGTCGAACACGAATGATGGGGGACACTGTAGACATTCTGCACATCTATTTAGCTATTCAGAGATACATTAGGTATAAATAGTGAGGGGTCAGTATTTTTTTCATACTAAGCTTCTAGATTCTCTAAAATCACAGAAAGCTCTATGCAGAGAGCTGCAGTTTGAAGGACAGGAATACACAACTCTAGACCAGCTGTACACCAGAGCTGTTGAATGCAGAAATAGATCTTAAACTTGAAGACACTTCAATTCATATGATCTAGGTAAGCACTGTTAATGACAGTCCAGGAAATAAGCACTGTGTTTTGTCATAGCAGTTCCAGTGCATTTTGTTTTAAAATTGTTCCTCCTATAAGTAGTCACTGGATGTCTGGTGGGTAAAGGCCCACAGACGTCTCTGAGTGCATGCTCCACACTGTCACACACTGACAACAAAGAGGAATCACGACTGCACTCAACACTGACAACATTTCTCCTAGACGACAGGCAAACAACACATAACTAACAAAAACAACAAAGACCCTTTCAGGCGTTGGTTTATTTGAGACCCTGAACAATAAGATAAACAAGAGAACACAAATTTAAAAAAAAAACACATTTCACAAAAGAGCCCACATGTAAAGAACAGGATGAAAAGGAAGAACTGCTTAGGGAAGCGTAAACACACAGGCTACACACTGAATGCACTGAACGCTTTTTAACAATAACCCTGTTTCCAGCTTTCTTTCCAGCTTTTGTTGCAATACTTTTAATTAGGGGGCAGATCTGGAGAAGAAACGCTGCCTCTGGATGAGTGCAACCTGCATCTTTTCCTGCCAATGATTTGCTAGGAAGCTGACGCTCCTGGGATGGTTGCTGTGCTCTGTCCATGCCGCCTGCAAATCTGCACCAAGATGTCATTCCACGGGCCAACCCCTCAGAACACTGTTTCCTGCACAGCTGTCCCAGCAGCCGACGAGGGCAAAGCCCTCTTTCCTGCTGCTCCTCTCTTCCCTTCCCTCCATCACTGAATAAGTAGGTCAGTTAAACCAACACTTTGTTTCTCTGTCTATCTTGTGTATAAACATCATGACACACTGAAAAAGAGTATACAGCTTTCAGGTCACAGAGACCTGGGTTCAAATGCCGACAGAGTAGTGTAGTGACTGTGTCCCGGCAGGTAGGTAATAATGCCTGCGATGAGGGCTGAACGTGATGGGCAGGTTTCCCTGCTGGGCAGGTGCCTGGGGGGGAAAGGGCCCTGCAAATGGACCTGGGGAGAGAGTCCAATCCAAGAGTCTGGGCTCTTTGACGACTCACAGTTTATGAGGGGATAGACATGCGCATAAGGAATGACAATGCCAAATGCCAGCTCTAGGTGTGTTCCAGTGGCTGAGGTGGGCAGGCTGGTCTGAGCGAGGTGTTGGTACACAGTAGGTGCCAAATAAATGCCTGGGCCAGCCAGGCTTCCTCTCTTCCCTTTCCAGTAGCTGTCACTCCAGTGTGAGCAACCGAAGAAACCTTCTCCCTATAGCCTCTTCTCAGCGGGCCACAAGTGGAGGCTCAGGACCACCTGTAACATGCTTTGACAACTTCTAAATGAGGTTATGGTGCAGGAGACTTTTTCCTCATCAATTCTAAACAGAAACCCAAAACATAAAGGAAAACGGGGAGCTCCTTTAGCTGTGATGAGCTGGAGGTCCAGGTCTCGTCCGCTCGATCCTCTGTGAGTGGCCCCACCGCACCCTCACCATAGCTCCCTAGGGGCTCCACGAAGCCAGTGGTCCAGGGATGCCAGCCTGAGACCCAGCAGCAGCAGGACGAAATGAAGAGCCCAGATCCCACATTCAAGTCCAAGTTCTCCTCTCAACTTTGAACAATCTTTTCATTTCCCCTTTCTGTAAAATAAGTTGGCCCTGATAAGCTCTAAAATCCTTTCTAGATCTAGAACTCTATCATTCTTTAAAATTCCAAATCAAAATAGAGAGTGTAAACACTCTTTTTTAAAATTGACTAGTGATTAAGTAGGAATCTTAAAAGGAATATATATATTTTTACAATTTTTAAGTTTAAATTTTTTTAAAGATAATTTATTATGCATACATGTTGGGTACAATGTTGATTTTCAATAATTGTGTATAATGTGTGGTGGTTAGATGAGTATAGTTAGCTTATTCATCATTACAATACACAATCATTCTTTGTGTCCATTGACCAGTTCCTCATTAACCCCCCTCCCTCACCCCTCCCCTCCCCTTCCCTTTTCCACCTCTAGTTTTCTAAAAGTTCAATGTATTACTGTGATTGTGGTTTCTTTTTTTCTCTCTTCATTGTTCATTTATTTATTTATGGATTCAGTTCCCAGTTATGAGTGAGAACATGCAGTATTTCTCTTTCTGTACCTGGGTTGTTCCCCTTAGAATGGTTTTCTCTAGGCTCATCCACATTGTTGCAAATGGTAGAATTTCATTCTTTTTTATGGCTGAATAGCATTCCATTGTGTATATATACCACAATTTCCTTATCCAGTCATCCATTGATGGACATTTAGGTTGGTTCCATTGCCTAACTATTGTAAACAGAGCTGAAGTAAACATGGGAGTGCAAGTATCCCTTTGACCTGATGTTTTCCAGTCCTCTGGATATATCCCCAGGAGTGGGATTGCTGGATCACATGGAAGTTCCATCTGTAGTTGTTTGAGAAACTCCATACTGTTCTCCATAATGGCTGTACTAATTTACAGTCTCACCAACAGTGCAGGAGGGTTCCCCTCTCTACACATCCTGACCTGTTGATATTCTCTGTCTTTTTTGTAATAGCCAGTCTGATTGGGGTGAGGTGATATCTCAAAGTGGTTTTGATTTGCATTTCCCTGATGATTATGATGTTGAGCATTGTTTCATATATCTGTTGGCCATTTGTATGTCTTCCTTTGAGAAATATTCAGCTCCTTTGACCATTTTTTAATTGGATTATTTGTTTTTTTGCTGTAAAGTTGTCTGAGCTCCTTGTATATTCTGGATATATTGCCTTTATCCTTTCTGCTACTTTCTGTCTATCCTAAGAGTTTAAGTCATTATTTTTGAGTTAATTAACATGCTGGCAACTTTGCTATTCTCTTAAGGCATGAACAACCTTTTTGAGCTGAAAAGTTATTATTGCAGAATTTCCACAAATGTGAAAAAACACACTAGCTTTGTCTTTAGTAGAAGCCTACTATAAATTCATGATTAAATTCTCTTCTAAATGAATAGCCACAGAGCCCAAGTAAGGTATTTAACCCTCCCACCATCCTCCGCCTAAATGACATAGTCTCATGGTTCATTCTGTATAAAGGAGAGCTTTGGAAAATTCTCCAGCAAAAGTGTAAAGAAGAAAATGCTAATGTAGGGCTTCTAGTTACTCAAGTTGAACACAATCATTCTCAGTTCAGTACTAGTTCATGTGAGTTTTTCTTTTACAAAAGAAAATTTAAAGCAAAGAAATTTTCAAACACTAAATATGAATATCTTCCAAGTCCTTTTGTAATAGATTCACTTTTATAGTTGCTTTGTTAAATGTAAATTAAAGATCTTGTAGCTTGTGATATTGCTTCTGGTCATTAAGAAAAAAAAGACTTCTCAAGAGTCAGTTTCATCAAGTTTACTTGGCCCAGAGAAAACATCTCCCTACCCAACACTGGTGCTTGTGATTTCCAGAGGCCGCTCACAGCCAATACCAAGGCTCGTCCCTCATCTCGACCCGCATGGATTTAGTTCTCTATGTTCTGGGCACTGGGAACAAAGCAAAAATTAGGTAAAGTGGTCCTGAACTAGGGATGCAAACTGACATGTGCATTTCAATTATTTATTATATACCGCCACCCCCAGTAATTTTGTACAACCACATACATCTTTACATTTTAAATTGACACTGGACAATTTCCATCATGAGTTCAGTTGGTTGCAAAGCCGTATGTTACTGTGCTGTAAATATCAATGTTTTAAAAACGAATGTCTCATCATTTAAAAAATGCACTCCAAGGAATCTGAACATCATAGTATTTTCCCGCCCAGCACCTCCATGTAAAAAAGAGTGAACACCTTCTTTAACAAGCAGAGTTTTAGAGCATGTCTCTTCTTACTTAACGTATTTCAAACGAATGTCTCATCATTTAAAAAATGCACTCCAAGGAATCTGAACATCATAGTATTTTCCTGCCCAGCACCTCCATGTAAAAAAGAGTGAACACCTTCTTTAACAAGCAGAGTTTTAGAGCATGTCTCTTCTTACTTAACGTATTTTCAATTCTGCTACCCAAAAGAATCACATCCTAACTGAATGTACTTTAC